AAGAAAACACTGAGTGGGTTGATAATTTGAAATTTGATATTGAATACAGGTTCTTTAGTATGTTTGATGACAATAAATATTTGAAAGAAACTGTAGACAGGTTGAAACATGATAATATAATGTTAAATGTGGAACTGTCCTTGATGAAACTCTGTCTTGATGCTCCTAATTCTGGAGTTCCTCCACTTGCTCAATATCCGAATTTTGAAAAACTAAAAATCTGATTTAGAAGATCTAAGATCGGATAAGGCACAACTTGAGGGGGAACTTGAGAAATTTAGGAAAGGCAAACAACCTATAGAGTACAGAGTTCCAGATTGGATCACTAAAGCTCAAACCAAAAGTACTGAAGGTTTGGGTTTCAAAGAAGTTCCAAAAGTAAAAGAAGTATGTTAACCTGCCTAGTAGTATTGTTTATTATTTCTGTGGCAATACAAGACATAAATAGGTTAAGTTTCCTAAGAAAGAAAAGAGTACACAGAAAAATGAAAAACATGTAGAACAGATCTGGATAAAGAAGAATGAACCTGCTCCTGTTACACAGGAACCCAAGGAAACCTGGGTTCCTGACACTAACGTATGATTTCTCTTATAGGTTCCAGTGAGGGGGAACAACACTTGGTACCTCGACAGTGGTTGTTCTAAGCACATGACTGGAGACAAATCTAGATTTCTCTCACTGGATGCCTACTATGGGGGAACTGTGACCTTTGGTGATAACATGAAAGGAGATATAGTTGCTATTGGCAAGGTAGGAAGGTCAAGTTCCCATGCTATTGATAATGTATTTTTAGTCGAGGGTCTCAAACACAACTTGTTAAGTATTTCAAAATTTTGTGACAAAGGTAACTCTGTAAGATTTACTTCCAATAAATGCAGAATCATTCGCAATGACACTGGGAACATTATTTTAGAAGGAACTCGTAAAGGGAACACATATGTTGTTGATCTTAATGAGGTTCCTAACAATAGTTTAACATGTCTCAGTGTTATTGAGGATGATCCTCTATTATGGCACAAGAGATTTGGCCATGCAAGCTTTACTTTACTTGATAAACTTAGATCTAAGGAACTAGTGGAAGGACTTCCTTGCATTAAGTTCCTGTATGACAAAGTGTGTGGTTCTTGTGTTAGAGGAAAGAAGACTCGAATTTCTTTCAAGTCCAAGAAAATAGTAAGTACCAAAAGACCTTTGGAACTTATTCATATGGATCTATATGGTCCTATGAGAATCCAAAGTAGAAGTGGTAAGAAATATGTAATGGTTATTGTTGATAATTTTTCAAGGTTTACTTGGGTTTTCTTTCTTGTTAGCAAAGATGAGACATTTGATGAATTTGTAGCTTTTGTAAAGAAAGAACAGAGAAGAACAGGTAATCCTTTGATTCACCTCAGATCTGATCATGGAAAAGAATTTGAAAACTCAAAGTTTGATGAATTTTGCACTGAGCATGGAATGGACAACAACTTCTCTACACCAAGGAATCCACAACAGAATGGAGTTGTATTCGATGAAACTGAACAGTTAAATGACCTACAGGATTGTGATGATGATTTTGTAATTGGACTTGTGCGCAAGCCAGATCTAGATGAGGAATCAACATCATTGCAGAGGCAGCAAGATGAAAATGTAGAAGAAACGAATCCAGAAGCAAATGCAAAATCCGAAATGGAGAATGCACCAGGAACTCTACCTCAAGAACAAAATCAAGATCAGGATGAGGAACATCCTGTTGAAGTTCCAACTAAGACTCACACTAGTAGAAAAAACGCATTAGGCAGCGGTTCAAACCCGGTCTAAGGCACCGGTTTGAACCGCTGCCTATTTGAGGGGTGCCAAAAACCCCCTATTTGGCACCGGTTCAAAACCGGTGCCATAGGGTTTAATAGGCACCGGTTAACCGGTGCCATAGGGTTTAATAGGCACTGGTTAACCGGTGCCATAGGGTAGAATAGGCACCGGTTAACCGGTGCCTAATACTGCTCCCCCGCCATTTTTTTTTGGGTGGTGGATAGTTTAGGCACCGGTTCCTGCCTAACCGGTGCCTTTTGTATAATTTTTTTTTTCGTTTTTTTTTCAATCGTGCAATAATATTTTAAAAAAAAAACCTGCAATAATAATACCCTGTAATTCCAGCAATTATATTAAATATAATAATTAATAATTTTATTATTATAATAACTAATAATAATATTATTAATTATTATATACAAAAATAATATTAGATACAAGAATTCAATTATATATATATATATATATATATATATATATATATATATATATATATATATATATATATAGATATAAATATTCCCAAACGCAATACAAAAAAAAAAAAATTGCTTACATATACAAATAATAGTAAGTACACATATATAATGATTAATAAGTTGTATATAGTTCAAAAGTTAACATAAATAATTTACAATTACAATACATGCCATTTACATGTTGAAGGTGATGAAAGACGCCAACATGTCACGAATTTCATTAAGCTCCTTGATTGTCAACGGACCATCCTTTTGGACCTTGCAAAACTTGAAATACAAAAACATTATTTTAAAAATAATTAATTAGGCAAAAAATATGTATTTTATCAAATATTACCTATACGACTTCTATATAGCCCATTTACTACATTACTTATCAAATGAACTATTTCTTTCTCATAACATTTCAATATTGGATAGTTGTATGTGTGTAAGCCCTAAAATTGTATAGGAGAGCATTTTATTAAGGTTTATGACGATTTTTACCCAAAATGGCCCGAATATGGCCTATATGACCTTACTTTTCCCATTTCCTAAATTTCTTATTAAATGAACTTTATTTATCTCATAACATGTCAATATTATCTAGTTATAGGTGTATAAGGAAAGAAATCACATTAAAAGAGCATATTAACACAAATGGCCCTAATATGGCCCATATGACTTCTATTCAACCCATTTTCTACCTTTCTTGTGAAATAGCCTTTTTGTTTCTCATAACATGTCATTGTTGGATAATATTAGGTGTCTAAGGCTAGAAATCACATCAATATAGCATTTCAAGAAGTTTAACAACGCATTTTACTCAACATGGCCCAAATAGGGCTTATATGACTTCTATGTAGCCCATTTTCTACATTACTTATCAAATGAACTATTTCTTTCTCATAACATGTCAATGTTGGGTAGTTGTATGTGTGTAAGCCCTAAAATTGTATAGGAGAGCATTTTATTAAGGTTTACGACGCTTTTTACTCAAAATGGCCCGAATATGGCCTATATGACCTTACTTTGCCCATTTCCTACATTTCTTATTAAATGAACTTTATTTATCTCATAACATGTCAATATTATCTAGTTATATGTGTATAAGGAAAGAAATCACATCAAAAGAGCATATTAACACAAAATGGCCCTAACATGGCCCATATGACTTCTATTCAGCCCATTTTCTACCTTTCTTGTGAAATAGCTTTTTTGTTTCTCATATCATGCCATTGTTGGGTAATATTAAGTGTCTAAGGCGTGAAATCACATCAATATAGCATTTCAAGAAGTTTTAGGACTTACCTCATCAAGCTGTTGAGTGTCCGTACAATGAGTCACAATGTCAAGCATGAATCTCATCACATACAAAGCACAATCAAGTCCATTCTCTTGTTGTGCGCACTAGCATATGACAAACAAATCACATCAGTGAAACATGCAAAGGAAATGAGCAAATATTTACTACCATAGAACAAGTTTGATCAACTTAATATTCAATGCTGGTATTCAATCTCTTCTACATCACTACTCTACAAGACTCTCTATGACATTCATACAATCTCATCTCATCAATGCCAAATCCACACTACCATACACATATCAATCACAGAAGCCCTTGGGATATTTTAGCATTGTACAAAAACAGAATCATTATCAGCTCAATATCATGACATCTTAGGGTCTCATGGAGTAATTCAAAATCCCTGGCCCATAAATGGACCTCTTATTAAGGTTGGCTCAGGTTGTATTATAAGAAGCCTCTGTCTCCTAGAGTTAATTCACCTTTATATGCAAGGATGATATACTTTCTAAGGGGTAGGGCACTTCCAAAAAATCACTTCAGTGAAGGGGGATCAAAGCCAATGCCATGTTACCTTAAGTTCTCTATATGACATCGTTTTGTTTTTCCAATCATCCAAAGAATTGCACCTCGATGACAAAAAACATTCCAACAATCTCCTCCTGCAATATACACAGTAATGAATATAAGACATGAGATAGAGAGTGACACCTGAGTACCTAACACTATTTATAACTATAAACACACAAATATTATCAACACTACCACCATAACCTAACAAAGTTCAAGCCTCTAAGGAGATCAAGTTGTCCAGATGTAAGCAAAGTCATTTTAAACATTTTTAGTACATGACTTACCAGAATTTAATAATTTTACAAATATTTATAAAAAATTCAGCCAAGTGATAATTATCCTTAAGAAACATTACCATGAACAAAAAAAGTTGAGCAAACAAATATATTGCAGCAATTAAAAGTTACTTGCACAAGGATGACTCCGTGGATGGAAATAATGCTCCCTTTGAAGAGGTTCCTTGCTTTCTTCCAGTTGTCCCAAGGATAAACTCATGTAATTCATGTTTATTGCAGCATATGGAGTACCTGCACAGCACCGTGGCTTGAATTTTGCAACTCAAAGTCACATATCCACCACCAAGAAATGAACAACCAAATGAAGACTCACCCACACGTTAAAGTCGCCTGAGCAGAACCAAGATGCTGAAATTCCTTAGGTGGGACATGAGCTTCAAAAAATAAAGGCTGCAAAATCAAGAGGCCACCTTTATGATGAGCCGAAGTGCATACTGCATTGACATTTAACACACTATGCATACCTCATTAATTAGAAAAGGATCAACTAACATATTTGATATAGGTGTTAGCCTATCATACAATGCCCTCCTCAAGTTTTCCTTCAGAGAAAGGGTTTGAGAACTACTGTATGATTGCCCAATGGTGACTGAAGAAATATAAACAGGTTGGAGCAGGTAGGAAAGCATTGCACCTGATACGAAAGTAAAGTAGACATCTCGTTATCAAAGACATACCATAGATCTATGTGTAACAGACTAACAGTTAAATAAATGATGTTTCTATTCGTAAACAGACTTGTAATTTTTTTTATTTTTTTCCTCATATTCAGATGCCAATGTTGCGTTTCTGATTGCCTTGTAGCTTTCTACATTCTTTGTTCTTTATCCCAACAAATCATGACCGAAACAGTTAGCTCCAATCTTGACTAATCTTTGCTGCTTTTTTTTTTCTTCTATGCATTCTATAGCTCCCTTTTGTTATGTGTGGAGTTGCTAGAATTTTCCATGGATAGGATGAATAAATTTAAAAGATCTAAACCTATTTTTTTAAGTTTTTCATTGACAATAGAAAGATCAAATTACCAAACTTCTTCACAAACAGAGCTGACACACAAGAAATCACATCAAAATTGAGGTCTGTTTGCTCAAGGCTTTATTTTAAAAGATCATAATCCTTAACACACATGGAACCCTCCAGTGATTGATGACTGACCTTGTATTCCAACAACATTCCAGCGTGCTATTTTGTCAGAACAGCTAACAGAAGAAGTCGTGGCACCACGACCAGGCTTTCTTTGAACTAAGCCAGTAATTGTTGGACAGTCACCTGCAAAAAAAAAAAAAAAGTCACCAAGAACAATTTTCAATATTTAGAGACTAACACATGATGAAAATCCATAGACAAGGGATATGCATTACTTTTTTCTAACACAATCTGACATATATGTAATGCACCATAGATCTTAACTAATGATGATTATTTCGTAATCTTTAATTATAACATGAGGAGCTAGCAATGCCTTCCCCCATTTATAAGGTTTCAGGCATCATCTCATAAAGTCCATACAATAAATCTACAAAATTTCTTCTACTGAATAAACTTCTACTGATTTCATGTTCAATCAAAAGCACAATACGCTGTATGGAAACATCTGTTTAATGTAGAAGCCGCTGCAGACAAGATGCATCTAGTAAAATAATGTATCACGATATAATGTAACCAAGTCATATAACTGCAGAGGTAGAGAAGATGAAAGAATACATTCAACCATTCTTCTTCAATAAAGCTTCGGAAGTTTTTTCTCCGGGAGGATGAAACACATTTGTTGATGATGCTGGGACCTCTTCTCCAAAGGAAATATTTCTCAACGATTGTGGCAAACTAAGTGAAGCATCTTCACCTATAAAAATAACAACTAGATTTGAAATATGAAACCCTAAATCTAACAAAAATCAATAATCAAACAAATTACTACCAAAATCAGCACAGGGATTAGCAATTCAAAGCGAGACTGTAATGTTCATAGATTCAGATCCAGAAATTACCGGCTTAACTATTGTTAACATCAACGGTACCGAGCTACCAAGCAACCTTCAGCAAGAATTCAGAAACATTGGAGGTCCACGTAACGTCAGCGTGGAGGGGGTTGAGCTGAGGGGAGAAAGAGAATGGCAGGGGAGAAGAGAATGGCAGGGGAGAAAGAGAAGGCCAGGGGTGGCGGCGGTGATGGTGGCCGGCGACTGTTGCGGCGGTGAGGTGAGGGGTTTTGTAGGTGAGGTGAGGGGTTTAGAGAATGGAACAGTGAAGAAGATAATTTTGAACAGCGAAAATGAAAAGAAAGAGAAAGAGAAGGAAGAATAAGGAAGAAAGAAGATGCGGTTTTTTTTTTTCAAATGAGGCACCGGTTCATTTGGCACCGGTTCAAACCGGTGCCTTTTACATTTTTGGCACCGGTTTGAATTGAACCGGTGCTTTTTCCCTTTGTTTAAATCCCGCCCAATTTTGGGCCGGTTTTTGGCACCGGTTTGGGCTGAACCGGTGCCATATGGGGGGTGCCAAATGCAATTTTTCTACTAGTGTCAAGATCAAGTTCTTACAAAAGAACCAGTCAACAATAATCAGGAACGGTTGTATCCAGCCAAGGATTTTACACCAAAGCGATGGAAATATCAGAAATCACATCCAGTGGATACTATCATGTGTGATATTACTAAAGGAACTCAGACTAGATCTCACCTTAGAAACTTCTATGCATTCTATGCATTCCTCTCTTTTATGGAACCTAAGAACTATGTTGAAGCTTTAACTGACGCTGACTGGATTAATGTTATGCAAGCTGAATTAAATGAGTTTGAAAGAAATAAAGTCTGGCATCTGAAACCTAGATCCAAGGATAAGAAGACTATATGTCTAAAGTGGGAATAAGCTAGATGAGCATGGTATTATTGTCAGGAACAGAGCAAGACTTGTGATTTAGGGTTTCAATCAACAAGAAGGAATAGACTATGAAAAAACAATTGCACCAGTGGCCAAGTTAGAGGTTATTCGTTTACTTATTGTTTTGGCTGCTTATATGCGATTCACGTTGTTCAAAATGGATGTTAAATGTGCATTTCTAAATGGATTCTTAAATGAAGAAGTCTATGTGGAACAACCTCCTGGATTTGAAAATCCAGAGTTCCCAAACCATGTCTATAAGCTTGACAAAGCTCTTTATGGGCTGAAGCAAGCTCCTAGAGCATGGTATGAAATATTGTCTAAGTTCCTATTGCAAAATGGTTTTAAACGTGGTAAAATAGGTAAAACTTTGTTTTTAAAATCAAATGGATCTGACATATTAGTTGTACAAATTTATGTTGATGATATTTTATTTGGTGCAACTATTGAATCTTTGTGCAAGTATTTTGCTGACCTTATGAGGGGAGAATTTGAAATGAGCATGATGGGAGAATTAAACTTCTTCCTCGGATTGCAAATCAAGCAAACTGAAGAAGGAATCATGATCCATCAACAAAAATATATCAAGGAACTGATCAAGAAATACAAGCTAGATAATGCTAAGACTAATAACACTCCAATGGGTATAGCAACCACATTGGATGAAGATCCAACTTGAACTTGTGTTGATCAATCTATATATAGAGGTATGATAGGTTGTTTACTTTATCTAATAGCTAGTAAACTTGACGTATCTTTTAGTGTAGGTTTGTGTGCTAGGTTCCAAGCAAACCAAAGGAGTCTCACTTGAAAGCAGTAAAGAGAATCCTTAGATATCTGAAAGGAAATGATGATCTGAGTCTTTTCCATCTTAGAAGTGACTTCTTTTATTTAAATGGCTTTACTGATGCTGACTATGCAGATGATTTGGTCAACAGAAAAAGCACTTCAAGTATGGTACAATTTTTAGGACCTTGTTTAGTTTCTTGGGTTTCCAAGAAGAAAAACACAGTTGCAACGTCTACAACTGAGGCTGAGTATGTGGCAGCTGTAGCATGTTGTTCACAAGTACTTTTGATAAAGTAACAGGTTAGAGGTTTTGGTATTATTTTTGAATGTGTGCCTATTTACAGTGATAATACCAGTGCTATATGTATTTCTAAGGATCCAGTTCAACACTCAAAGGTAAAACATATCCACATTAGGCATCACTTTCTAAAAGATAATGTGGAGCAAGGGAATATAAAGTTAGAATTTTGTCATACTGAAAATCAAATTGCAGATATTCTAACCAAGCCCTTGAGCAGAGAAAGATTTGAGAAATTAAGACTGGAACTTGGGATGATCAAGATGAATTGATTGCTTCTGAAGTTCCAAGATATGGCAAAGTAAAAAATAATGTAAATAGAGCAAAAAGATCATTTAGCACAATCTTGGTGTGCTAAACATAGCTGAAGTGTCACCGTTGTTGATCACTGGAGGTTAGTTCATTAAACGCTTAATTAAATTTGCTAGTAGTAATGTACATTGCATATGTGTAGAAAGCGTGTTCCAATTGCGTGTTTTATTTACAAGAATTTTATTTTCAAAAATTAATTGAATTTGGAAAGTAGAGATTTTTGGTAAATTCATCCTGCCTAAATGATTTTACAAAATTAATTGAACGTGTTCAATTAAATGACTGAGCAGTGACCCATTAATTCCATCACACTGCTTCATTAATTATAAAAGCATCTTTCACCCACCACTTTCACCTCACCGTCAAATCACTTTAACCTTTCTTCAGTAAAAAACCATCAAAGCTCAAAACCACCAGTCAAAAACCATGGTTATTATTGCCGAGATTGTTTCATCAGAAAACTCACACAACTCCGAAAGAACAATCCAAGAAGAAACCTCTCCCTTAGCCATTGTAAACTACAAGAATTCTCCAACATCAATCAAAGACCAGAAAACCCAAAACCCTCAATGTCAAACCCTAAACTCAACGAAGAATCAGAAAGCAAGAGTGAACAAGAGGAATCCTTTGTTTTTGAGAGGATCAAAGAATGGAAAGAAAAGAAGTTAAGAGGAGAAACACTCGAAGAAAAAATGACAGAGGTTGATGATTTTGCTAAAGGGGTTAAGTCAGATGATGATGAAGACGATGAAGAAGAGGAAGGAGGAGAGGAACAAAATGAATCAGAGGACACAGAGGAAGCTGAGGAAGAGGATGATAGTGAGCAATCATAACTCAATGCCGATGCTAAGAGGTATATTGTTGGTCATAGACTAGATTCATCTTGGTGCAAGAAGTCTAGGTTTTGGGTATTTCTTGATTTAATCAAATTTAAAGGGTGGGAGTACTTGTTAACTAATGCTTCAAATAATGTTATGTATCCTGCTGCAATGACTGAATTTTGTGGAAAATTCCAAGTGAAACAAGGAAAAATATCTAGTTTAGTTAACAAAAAGAAAATTGATTTTTTTTTTGAAAACAAAAGAAAATTGAGTTTGATGTTGCAAAATTAGGAAAATTTTTGAAGGTACCAACTGATGGGTACGAGATGTATCTGAAGGGAAAGGGAACTGTGAAAGAAGGGAATTATCTAGGGGGTGATATTGTTGAAGCCCTAGGAGGAAAAAGGGGGAAGAATATCATGAGCCACAATGATCTAAGCCCACTGAAAAAGTTGTTGTTCAACTTGGTTCGAAAAACAATCCTGCCTAGAACTCAAAAGAAAAGTGAAGCTTGCTTGATGGATATGGATGTTATCTTTTGTCTCTCTCAGAAAATCAAAGTGAACTTTCATTCACTAATGTATAAACACCTAGCACACTGTGTTCCAGGAAAGAACAAAGTGGGCTATGGAGCTGTCCTGTCTACCGTTTTTGAATCACTTGGTGTAAAACTGAAAGGGGTCTATGAAGGTTTGGAAGAAAAACCTGAGAATGTGATAAATGGTGAGACACTATAGGGCATTAGTTTAGAGGTAGTGAATGGGAAGGTGAGAAGAGTAGAAGAGAAAAAGAGTGCTGGAGGTAAAAGAAAAGGGAAAGAAGTTCTAGAGCAGCCTGTAAGGAATAGCAGGAGAATCTCTGCTAGTGCTGTTCCTAAAACAAGCATGGATGAACCTCTGGAACTTGATGTTGAAGATGAAAAGGTTCTGCTTGGGCAGGTAACAGAGCTTGCTGATCGGGTTGAAGTGGTTGAAAAACAGCTTAAGGGTGCCTTGGGGGAGATCAAAGCTGTCAATGGGAAGGTACAACAGTTGGAGAAAACTGTGCAGAAACTTGAGAGCAATCTCAGGTCTTAGAAGGAGGAGTTCCAGATGGCTATCAAATGCATGGAAGACAAGCTGGAAGCCTTTGCACAGCACACCAAGGAAGACAACAAGAAGATTCTAGAGCTCCTTCAGACCTGATCTACCTAAATCTCAACCTAGCCTACTTAGCCTATCTTAGCCTTGTCTTATTTCAGTCATAAACATTTTCATTTTCTGTTTTTATATGTCTGAACATTTTATTTTGGTTTGTAAAAAAATTTGTTCAGCAGGTTGTTTAACTTTTGGTTTTAAATGAATGCTTTTGGAACTGCCTATACTTGTATGCATTTGTTTGTTATGAATTCTTATGCAGGAGAGTGGAACTTGCTTAAGGTAAGTTAGCAGCGTTGCCTTCAATTTCCCACACTTGATGAATTTCTTGTAGGGCTGTGGCTAGATGCTTAATACCTTGAAAAAACAGGACTTTTTGATAATGCCAAAAGGGGGAAAAGAAGAAGCAAACTTGGAGGCTGAAGTTGTTCTGGGTTCCAGTTGATAAAGTATCAGAAGTTTCTTCTGATATGATGCTAAGTAGCTTAGTTTATTTCTTAGTCTTATTTGTGTTTTGTTTTGTTTATCTTTGCTTTCTTGTTTTCGTATTTTTAGTTATTTGTGTGTTTATCTTTTTGTCAATAAATAAAAAATACAAAAATACGCCCTTCTATTTTGTTTAACTTTTCTCAAGAGTTTG